GTTCCCCAGGCGGCCGTCACCAGTTGTTTCCCGAGCCGGATACGTCTGTGATGAGCTGTCGTGAGTCGAAGAGGTCCCTCAGCGGCCCCCTCATCAGCTCGTTGACCACACCCTCCTCCATGTCCACCAACACCGCCTTACACACACCACATCATGCCAACCACCATAGGTCACCATGGGTGGATGGATGTGTCCTCACTCACCCGTGCCCGCAGCGTCTTGACGGGGGCAGTGCCATCGCCAACCGGGATCTCCTTCGGATCTGAAAACCTGCACACACACACACACACACACAGAGAGAGAGAGAGAGAGAGATCAAGGGATGAATCGGACAGGCAGATCTTGCAGTGGACATTTCCTTATCTGATCTGCCCACCGTGTGTCGACGTTTCTGAAGAGAACTGAGGTGCCGGCGTCGAAGTGTCCCTTCTTGTTGTATGAGGCATGTTCGTTGAGGGCTTCGCTCCAGAAGATGCTGCCGATCTGGTTGCCGCACTGACCCACCTGCACCACTATCAACTCCCGAGGCATAACGCCAAATGCGATGCGTTCAACCTCTCATCGCCGCTGATGCATTCCAGATCGTGTGTTGGGGAGAAGCGTCGAGAATCCCGCGAAATTCAAAAAATGAGACGGATTCACATTTTGTGTGGATTCAATTCATTTTCATGAGGAAATTCTGATGTCGGCCGGCGCACCACCGAGGAGACAGCATTACAGGCGGTCTGCCATGGCAGTCTTCCCCCACAATGATGCCAAGATGGCCAATATCACCCCCCTCGCGCAGAGACCGGCCGCCCGCCTGAATCCAGCGACTCTCTGAACGTAAGAAACAATGTTTCCCCACGTATGAGCTCTTTAACGCCGACGAGGACGTATCTGCCGCGGGTGGTGTCCATGCATTGGAGCCGTCTCGGCCTCGCCATGGTCTCCTGGCCGTCTGCTGGCGCCATGTGGGCGTCGCCATCGCCGCCGCCAAGTGATGCGTGTCGAGGAGGGAGGGCGTGTTGAGGAGGGGCCTCTTACTGTTGTTTCGTCTTTGTTTCTCTTTGCAGCTCTGCACAAGGGCGATGACCGCGTTGACTTGCTCGAGAACGGTGCGAACGTCGCCACAGTGGACGTCTAATTGGCACGGATGCTGAAATCGTGGTAGGGTTGTTGTGTTAGGGTGATTAGGTCGATTGCGTCTGCTGGTTGAATTCGTGGTGCACCGTTGAGACGCCCTTCCGGCCATCCAGAGTGCCGCCTTCATCCAGACATGGCAGTGTGGAAGCTGGGCGTGCGCATCGATTTGGAGCTGGAGATCGAGCTTGGTCAGCTGACATCGAAAGGGAGGTGCTGAGCGTCAGGTATGCTGTCTCCGTGGTCTTTCAGGTATGCTGACCAGCAAAGACACCATCCAGTGGTTGTTTGTCGAGAGTGGGCGGATCCCCAGCGGCTATGTCTTCATTTGGTCGGTGGCAGAGGCGCTCGGCGTCGGGGACTGCAGCTCGGGCGGAAAGGCCGCGAGCGCGTGGAAGCTGGGTGTTCGCGTTGATCTTCAACTGGAGATCAAGCTTGGTCAGCTGACATCGAAAGGGAGGTGCTAAGCGTCAGGTGCTGTCTCCGTTGTCTTTCAGGGTTTCTCACCGACCAGAAGACCATCCAGTGGTTGCTTGGCGAGGGCGGCCGGATTGCCAGCGGCCGTGTGTTCATTTGGTCGGTGGCTGAGGGGGATTACAATGTTTGTACTGCGACAACATCAAGGTGGGGGAGTGGGGTGGATAGCAGCGCCATCTATGCCAATGCTGACTGAGGTTCGCTGCTGTGACTGTGTATGCAGGAATTCGACGTGGAGAATAACTCCGATAAGGAACACAAAAGATGGTTTCTCCCGGCAAAGAACAAATGAGATTTAGAGGTTGTAAAACACCTTTGCGACGGGCGCATGGCAATCGACGACTACTGCGAACGCACGTCCGGGAAGAGTAAGCACCAACGAAGTGCGCATAGCCTCTTGGTGATGTCTGACGTGTTTGGCTTGTTATGCCAGCCGGGAGTGAGCTGGACATAATGCCGACGTACGTCGCGGAGCACCACTACATCAGTGAAGCCCTTCAGAAGCCCACCGCTGAGTTGAAGGTGCCCACACTCGACCTCGATCCCGCCGCCCGTGAGGACCCGGCGCTGCACCCACCAGCACCCATGCTGCTGCCACTGAAGTACTCGCCAGCCAAGGTTCGTGACCACGGTGCCTTGCCCTCCCTCTGCAAAACCGCCAGCACCAAAAGACATCGTTCGCTGTCCCGCCAGCTTACATGCCAACCCCCAGCAGCAGCAGCAGCAGCCCAACGCATACCCGACCATTCTGCCGCCCCCCGCCACCGCCGATGGACAACACCGCAACCATCGCCACAACGAACGGCATGGCAGACACAACGGGCGGGGCGGCGGATGGCGCGGCCACAGGGCCGGGCCAGGAGGCCAGAAGAGGTATGCACCCCGTGTATGTCTGTCTGTCTGTGTGGTGTGAGCGCCCTCATGTCTTTGTCTGTCTGTCTGTCTGTCTGTAGGTCAGTGTCATCGCTGCCTTCGTTTTATATTATAAGGATCGTGTCCGGAAGTCACCGCCCTGTGCAAACACGACACGTACGACGCCCTCCCACAGAAGTGTGGGTCCCCACACAAGTGTCGGAGGGGATAAGCCACGTATGCGTCTCTCGCTGCGACCGTGTCTCTGTCTCTGTCAGCAATCGCCGCCTACGTTTTATATCTGAGCGGCTCATCTTCTCTTCTCGAGCGACGACAGCTGGTCAGCAGACGAGCTGACAGCTGCGGCAGCTGCGAGAGAGTCGACCACGTGGGGTTCGACATGGGCAAGGGCCTATTAGTCACAGCCACACTCTGGGAGGTCAAGGGCAGCGGCGGGCGCGTTGATAAGGTGGCGGGGCCCGTCATGCTCGACTGCAGGGACATGGACAAGTTCAGGTGTGGCCTTGGATGGTGCAGCCCGTCAGAGGCCAAGGAAGAGCTGGAGGAGCTGTGTGAACGATGATGAGGAGCTGAGCGACTCCGAGAGCGAGGAAGAAATGAACATCTCAACTGACGACTGAGGCGACGAGTGGTAGCATCCACGGCGAAGGGCATGTAGAGGGCCAGGGTAGCAGTCATGTGTGTCGTACAGTTAATAGTCTCTCATCAATCCACTGCCTCACATTCTCTTTTCATTCCAAGTACTCGACCTGCCTTATGCGAGGCTTGGGTGATGTGAGGCGAATGGATGCAGACCAATGCACGTGGTGTGCGGCCGATGAAGAAATGCATGTGCAAGTCCCCCGATTGACAAGAGACATGAATACATATCGTTGCCTACATTTTATATCGAAAGTAGGTGTTTTCAGTGTATGCAGACGAGAGTGATCCCCACTTCTTCTTGTCACTATCACAGCCTAACGACCAGAGACAACGAGTAGAGAGATGGGGCGGATGGCAGGTTCAGTTAGACGTTGTGAGACGAATAGATGGATTCTCAGTGTTGCATCAGCCCATTGCATGGCATTGCATCGCATCGCATCCAAGGTCCGTCCATCCATCCACATCAATCAAGGGTAGGTCTAAAGAGGCAGGCCCTGCACCCGCGGGGGATGGGATGCAGGCAGCGGGGGTGGGTGGGGTCAGCAAGCAAAGAAAAACGAGTCGCCCGAGAGGAATCAAGCAATCAATCAAGCAATGCAATGCGACCTCTCTCTGTCACCATATGTCTGTGTCTGTGTCAGTGTCTGTCACTGTCAGCAGATCGCCGCCTGCATATTTCCATTTTATATCGTCGCCCATTTGCTCGAGCGACGACGCGTACATGGCATTGCCACGTTCCCGACTAGCTGGCACGGTCAAATGGCGTCTATGTCTCGTGTCCCTTACCGCAAAAATAGTGAACCCCGCCCTCGACCGACCCATCCTTCCCCCCTCTCTCACACGCACCATCCGTGCCATTATATCACGATGGTCCCGTATTATCCATCACCAGACGCCAGTCGCACAAAAATCAACGACACCTACGAGTAGACACCCACTGCAGAGACGCACAGACCTATGGGAACGTCTAAGTAGGGATATGTCGTTCATGCTGTCCACCGGTCAAGAGCGCGGGCAGCAAAACCACCCAGCAAGACGGCGACATGAACGCATGGTATGAGTGGCAACACACCTAGCATACTTTGCACTCCACGCCCCTACCGCATGAGACATTCATGGTATCGCTCCATCGCAACGAAAGGACCGACCGACCGACCGACAGCACCGTGTCCCTGGTGCAGGTCCACCCCGACCGCCACTCTCATTCGCTGTCCTCTCAGAATAACAAGATCCACCACACACAACGAAGCCTTTTGTCAGAAGGGCAAGGCTGCTGTTGGGGCGGGCAAGAAGCCATCTGATAATAACGGGAGTGGCGTCCCCGTGTTGTCAATTCCATCCACACCCATCTGTGGGTAAGGCCGTCGGGTGCGGCTGTGTTGCCTGTCTCACGTCTCGGGCACGGCTCCTATCTCCGGCTGTGGATGCGTCTCGACTGCGGCCTAAAGGGTGGGGGGTCTGGAATGGGGGGGTGAGGGTGGCGCTGCTGGAGCACTCCGCTGGAATGGACAAGCTGGCTTTGCTCGAGAGTGTTGCTGACGTTTTACCCACGATGACCAAACTGGCGAAACGAATGGCCGTTTTCCGGGGGTTCAGTCTTGGATTTGGGCGAACAAGGGACCAGATATGAGATTCCCTGGCTGCACATGGCGGGTGACAGAAGCTCCGTTGAAGATGATGGGCTTCTGCTGGCTCTGCGATGGAGACACAGCCCTCTGAGCTTCCGGG